CTTTTTCATAGTTGAGCGAACACTACCCTATGGCCCAGCCACTGTACTCCTGTGACTACACCCAAGAGAAATGCATGCACCCAGGTAACCAGTTCTCTCAAGAACCAGCACCCTTTCCTTTATAACGGCCAAAGACTGCAAGCAACCCAGTGACTCACACAACACAACATGCACATCAACTGGTGTGGTCAGAACATGAAACAGACGTCTCAACACTGAGAGTAGACAAAACTCCACAAACAACTACGCCGAGGAGAGGGCTCTTAGAAAGCATTGCATACAAAAAACGCCAGTCTCAAAGAATATCTATTGTACAGTTTTCAGTTTTAGAAGGTCCCAGATCAGGCAAAGCTAAGGCATGCCACCAGAGATCAGGACAGTAGCGAACTCAGGGGAGGTGAGAGGAAACACAGAGTGGGAGAGAGGGCAGACTGGTGATATTCCAGTTCTTAACTGGGATGATGGTTATACAGACATGTGTCTTCTGATAATTGGCTGAACTCATGTTGTGCTTCAAGGAGGAAAAGTTGTGTTGTCCGAGGAAGAAGAAAATGCTCCGAAATTGGTTGTGGTACTAATTGCACAACTCTTCTGACCAAACTATTAACTCGTATGTGTGATGTATGAATTATAAGACAATAAAACTGGCTGCTCACCAAAAAAAAAAGACAATAAAACTATTTTTAAAAGAAAACCTATACCAAAAAAAGGACTTCATAAACAATGAAGTCTACAAGCGACTACATAAGAGAAAATATGAACCTATATACTCGAGTATAAGCCGACCCGAATATCGGCTGAGGCTCCTAATTTTTCCACAGCCACTGCACTATAAATGTGCTGAAAAACTTGGCTTGTCCTCGAGTACATACGGTACGATATATTTAAACCAAAAAAAGCATTACAGTTCAATTAAAAAACTCATATAAAGCCGTAAGCAAAAGACCAAGTGAGCACATGCTGTTGGGAAAATGGTGCCAGTAGATTTGCTCGATGCAAACAACACAACACAACACAAAACACAAATTCACTTCTGTCGAGCAGATACCCATTCATACTGACCCACAACAGCACTGGACAGAAGGGCTGCGTTCCCAGACTGTGACTCCTGCAAAGACTCAGCTTTCTCCCATGGAGCACCTGGTGGTTTCGAAATGCTGACCTGTAGTTCGCAACCCCACCCACAATCCACTATGCCACAATTGTCCATTTGAAATGGAACTATCAGCAAAACACATGACAACGTCTGGTCAATTTCAAGACACGGCCCTTCCCAGCAGGGGGCTTTCAACCGACCCTTCATTTGCCTAGACTAGGGACCAATTCCCACGAGGTACACATACCAATCACAGGGCAGGCTGCAGCCCGGACCAGAAGTGTCACCCAACGGGGATAAATGTAACGAGCCCCATGGGGTAAAACAAGAGGGTAAAGAGAATTCCTCGGGGTTCTGGGAAAATCTCTCTCAAAGCAGAACTTCCAAAAGCCCGTGGCAAAAGCCTACCGGAAATAACTCATCTCACTATAACGTATGTGTGTGTACATTAAAATGCACACATACAAACTCTAACAAGAAGGTGGGGCGTCCCAGTGTCTAGCTCTGTAGAAATCTACACCGGGTGCCTGAAGGCTCTGCTCTCAGGACAGAGAACTGTACTTTATGCTCCTCCGGCAGAGGCCTGGCGGCAAAGTAATTCAGAGCTCCCCTGGGAGCCAGAGAGTTGGCAGTTGGAACCCACCAGCTGTTCCCCCTTGGGAGTGGGCCGTGGCAGTTGGCTTCTGTAAAGACTTACAGGCTTGGAAACGCTCTGGGGCAGTTCTACTCGGTCCTACAGGGATGCCACTGACAGGGACAGAACAGGGGCTTCTGATCTGCCTGCAGGGGAATGAACAAAGGACCCTGTGAAACAAGTCATGAACAAAGAACGCTGTGAGAACTGACTTGGCAAATACCTTAACCTTGTAGCCAGGCTCTAGTGAAAACCACAGACGCAGGACTGTACTCGAAGATAATTCCCAGACATGGTGGCCCAGAGCTGCAGCTCAGATAAATTTGAAAGAAATGATGTATGAGACCCAAGGACAAATAGAACGACTGATTACAAAGTTGCTTGACCATCTACAGAGACAACTCCCTCTTCTCCTTTGAAAGGGCCATTTAAAAAACTAGAAGCACTGCCCTAGACAATGTCCCCTTTTGCAACTGAAGGAGGGAGCTGCTTTGCTTCCAAAGCATGTCTATCTATGCCTAAGGTGTCCTTTCTTACCTTGTGAGAGGAACTCGCGTCAATACTTCCGCAGTGACTCTATGCTTTAATCAGACAGGGGCAAGACTCTTTGCTGCTGTGTGCAAGCGTGGGTGTGTGCACGCCAGCTAGAGGGCTTGTCTCCGGACCCTAACAAACCACACAGGTCTGGAGCTGGCAGTTCCCTGCTGGCTGACAGCCCGAGCAGCGAACCTCACATCTCCGAGCTGGAATCTGATGAGAGCCACGAGATGCTGGTTTTAACCCTGGTTATTAAGAGACTATTCTAGCCTCCAGTCGAAGCAAGTGCCTTAACCCTACTCAAATGCACCTGTCGTGGACTAGGCTCTAAGTAAGTCCTGATTTTGTCCTCATGCCATAACTGTGATATTCCAGAGATGACAGTATCTTGCCATGGAAGACCCAGAGACACATACCAGCAAGAAGCTTCTTCACTACTGGAGGCGGTCTTGTTTCCTGTGGGAACACCTCCTTTACTCCCAAGAGCCGCCTCTCGCTCTTAGACGATGGGCTTGGCCACTTCTCTAAGACCCGTTGGCTACCAACCGGAAATCTGCTCCGAGCCTCAGAGAAACACTTCTTCACCTTTCTGGGCGACAAGCTCTTCTCCAGGAGGGACTCCAAGGCCTGCCATGAAACAGTCGATTATTCTCTTAGCTTCTATCACAAAACTAGCTTTTTTCATCGCCAAATTGAAAATAATGTGTTAGTATACTGCTATCGCTAAAGGTCAACACCAAATGCTGTTTCATTCGATTGTAAAACTTTCATCATTTAGGATGTTAATGAGGTAAGAGGAATTTCTCTTTTTGTTTCTTAACCCATGCAGTTCACTAAGAGCAATAGCAAAGAGCTAACGAATGACTACTTTTAAGGACCAAACCCAAAATTTAGGACCAAGCTTTTAGAAATGAACTATAGTCTTCAAAATGCAATCCTCTATGCTTTAAAAGCATTGCAAAACTAAAAAAAGCCCAAAGTAATAAAATAAAATAAAAACATGAAGGCATTGCAATTCGCAATGTAACCCTCACCAACTTGTAGCCTTGGAAGTGAGCACACAGTTCATAAACGAATGGGAACGCAACAGGACCAGTGGCTTTGCTCACTCACTGACAACACTGGCAGGAGACCTGAGTCGCCCCCTTCTGAGAAAACGCATACCCTCAAAGGCTACACTAACGACCCGCTCTGTCAACCTCCCCCTAGTTCATAATAAAAAGTTTAAAAGGAAGAAAGGAAAAAACAACAGAGGCATAGCTTCTAACAGGTAACCCCAAACTCATTCTCAGGAGTGAAAACCCATATAATGTGAGGGTGAGTGGGCGCTGGGGGTTCATCCACCACCAGTACAGTGCTCCACAGAGCAGCAGCTAGGAAATGGGATGGCACATCAGCAACAAGGATCATACACTTCTTCCACCGTTTGCATTCAGTAGGAGAAACATCACGTTAGGGAAATTTATCCAAGGGTACTCTTGCTCGAAATTTGGAAGAGCTACTAGACCATCTGAAGAGACTTTCTAAGATTATAAAAGGTGCTTGACGCAACAGATGGATGGATGGAGTGTGCTAAGAGTTGTGGGAGCCCCCAATAAAATGATTTAATAAAAAGAGATTTAAAACATGAAATAATTTGACCATGCTTCTGCTGCACAGGACTCGTTTAACGCGTTCAAGAGCAAAGATGTCCCTCTGAGGACTAAGGTGCATCTGAACCACGCCACAGTGGTGTCAATCTCCTCACATGCAAAGTCGGACGACGAGGAATAAGGACGATGACCAGAGAGTGGCGTGGCTGAACTATGGCGAAGAATACTGAGCAGCATGGGCTGCCAGGAGAACCAGCAAGTCTGTCTCCCAGAAGTGCAGCCAGAAGGCTCTTGAGAAGTGGGCAGACTTCGGACACACCAGGAGAGGCCAGCCCCTGGAGAAGGACACCATGTGCCCTGGTAAAGGATCGGCTCAAAAGACCCTTGACTTTGACCAGGCGGGCTGACACAGTGTCTGCAACGGAGAGTTCTTCCTAAGCTACACCAACAGAGATCTTTATATTTCTGAGTATGGCATGGTGGAAATAACAACAGGATGGGAATCGGGAGATAGAAATTTGATCTCTAAACTCAAGAGAAGTAACTGTGTCATCTCTCTGACCTTCGAGTTTCTATAAAAAGCAATAAAACCTACTCAGAGCAATAAAAGCAAATCACAATGGAGTGGGACAAGGATCAAACGGTGTGATCATGTGATAGCAACTGCAGAGATGCCAGGGAACCGTGTCACGACAGTCTGAGTCACAGATGAGACCTGCGAACATCATCCGCTCCTGACGCGCAGTGTCTGCCGGTGGGATTCCCAGAACTCTCTGGCCGTGTACCACAGGATGTGGGGCTGTCTTCGAAGATCCTGCCAGATGAAACACTGATACTCTGATCGCCGCACTCATCCAGTCCTTTGTTGAGCTGCGAGAGTCTTTACTAACGGGCATGGCCAGGGATAGACGCTTCAGCTTAACTGATGGACCTGGTAAAGAGTTGTTCTATGTCCCCCGTTCCCAAAGAAGTAAAACAGAGCAATACAGACTTGATGGTTAAAAGCCCTTAACACAAAACGGAGAGCCCTTCCATCCCACTGTAAAGCTCTAACTTACTGGGGAGCAGCTGCGTCTGACCGACACCACGAACCCCGCTCTGACACACTGTGCATCCGGGAGCAACGGGGTCAACCCCTTACCTCGATTTGCTGCAGGATGTCTATAACCACGTCGGGGACCGAAGGGTCGGAGTCGAGCTTGGCAGAGCAGAGGGAAAGCTGGCGGATGAGGCTGCCTAGTTCCCGGCACCGAGCAGGAAGTGGGTGTTCACCTCGGTCCGTAAACTGGGT